CATTTCCAATAGACCTCTATCATCGACATAGACCACTAATGTGATTAACTTGGAAAATGTTCTCGATTTAGGTTATACTACTCACAGTGTTTTAAACTGCAACTGTTATACTTGGCCCCTTCATAATGACATTATTCTGAGTTTATCAGATTAATTGCCGACTACTAAGCGTTTAAGAAAGGGGCAAGTGTCTCAAATTTGCTGCGTTATCTATGATTTTGGGATCCATAGAAGCTTCTCAGTTGTTGAATTTTAACTTTGATTACTTTGATCTGATTTCAGGTTCAAACTTCCTTTTATTATTAATTTCGCTTTCTGCTTTATTCAGAACTTATTGCGATATTCAGCACATTTTTGCCCTTTTATTTAGTATTCTGATTGCTCGTGTATTGTTTAAAGCGTCTGAATCCTAGATTGATTAATAATTTCATGAAATTTCAAAGCACCTGTCAGCACAGACAACGGAGTCGCTTTCTTTTGAAGAAGGTGATGGTACGAGATAATCATGTCGCTTCTTGATATAACGACGGTACATCAGTTAATAACTAGAAGTAACATAGGCCAGCATAACAAAACATGATTGCCAATATTTTCAAAACACAAGTGGAAGTCAAAATTTCTCCAGCATTATCACTAGTGATTCGTAACAATCGGTCGATCCATATCCTGGCATTAGACACGCGCGTAACTTTTACAGGTTAAGGGTGTTTATCAATAGTACATGCTTCATATCAACAATCTGTTAAGAAGAGGTACAGAGAAACGGAATTATTGAATGCATGTCATGAAGACTCCTTTAGATGGTATGACTATCTGAAATGCGAGGGAATCTCCACTTAACTGAAGGGTGAAAGCAAAACAATACTGAATCGTCGTTAGAACCCCATTATTTTACTAGAGTATGTAAAAATGGAATACAAAACGACTGTAGACGAACTGGCAGCCCTTTAACAAAATTAGGACCCTGACAGAAGCTACCGTACCAGTCCACACCAGTATATCTGAATCACTATGTGAATCACAATCTGAGCTCACGTATCGGCGAAATCAACAAATGTTGCTGATACCCCACTATTTATTGAAAGTAAGGAACAGTGGGTGAACGTTGAGAAAACAAATGTTAATAGCATGGCTCCCAAAACGCCAGGAAACGTACCAAAATCTTCAAACGAAACTATCTGATTTTATCACGTGTTTATTAGAAAGCAGGGCAACTTTTTATAAAGAGCAGTGAGTCAAATACTATACAGCGATGGAAAAGGGCGCCAATTTAGCCAAGTCATTCCTTCAGCATAAGTGCCAGAACGTTACAAAAAATATACTCTTCATAATGAGTAACTTTAGGTTCATGGAAAATTTTACCGATGTCCCAGAGACCTTCGGTTAAACGATTCTCTCAATTCTGAATTAGACACGACAAATGGTGCTTGCCAGTGCAGGCAGCCAAAAGGTCAGCAGACACCTAAAAACCAATCGGCATGGTGGTTAACTGAGTGTCTGTGTTAATAGTCGGTAGTTGGTATGAAGCTGACGACACGTAATATGCAACAATGGTATAATAAGCTTTCGCACTATTATAATTAGCGTGCCCAACATACCTCGTCCGTTCAATCTCGTGACTATTAGGTCTCCGCGTCTGATGTCTGTGAACTTCAAAAACCGAGAAGACGCAAGTGAGGCGCAACTCTGTAAACGACAAACGAAACGGGTTCGTACCGGATTGGGAAGTACACATTAAACAATGAACTGCCTTAACACTAGAGGACAGATGCTGTTGTATACGAGCACCAGCTAATGAGACGAATAATTACATGACTATGAAGTACGGTAAGAAGACTGAGGAGCAAACTAAGAAGAATCTGAAACACGCTTTCAACTAGATTTGAAGATCATTGGCCTAGCTAGAACGTGTCTATCGACCGACATACATATGCAGAAGTGGGCATACAGGGCATGACATTTCCGATAAAATAGGGTCCATGAAATAGAAGGTGGAGTGGTTATATCCATTAACAGCTATTTCATAGATGTAACACAACACAATTTTGAATTAACTGACGTGACAGAATTATGCCAATGTTGCTTCAGTGTTAATGGCACAAAGTACCTGATTGGAGGAGTACACCGGCCACAACATATTCCAACACTGAAAAAGACGAGATAATACAGCTGATATTAGGCTACTACACCTGCAGTTTGACAAGTGCTACAATCTGGAGACTTCAACAATCCATCCCTAGATCTCAACAAACAGGTGACAATTCACATAAGGTGGTTCCATAAGCGGCTTGCCATATTTATCAGAAGTTCAGGACAAGCTGAACGTTTGGAAGCGTCAAGCGGTGTGATAATGACGGAAAACCCTTGGACAGAAATCATTTGCTGATAAATTGTCAGCTCCCAGTTGAGGATTTCCATGTCCACGATCAACAAGAAGTAGTGACCATGGTACATTCATTTTTAACACGAGACTTCGAACGGAGCAGAACACTTCTTATCTGAGCCGCACTAGAACAGACCACACGATGATAAGGAAGCATTTTCAATGCGCACAATGGTGACGAAAGTGGTAGGCGTAATAGTGGGTGACCAATATGACATAGTCATTCAGAATCCTAACGTCTCTCAGGCAAGCAAACCTGGAAAGCGAAGCTCTTGGGTTTAGCGAGGCACAAAAGCTTGCTACAGATAAAACAGCGAACCTGGAACGAAAAGAAAGTCTTCTTATGGGATTCCGACCAAAACTCTTACTTAGCATTGTGAAACAGATGCAGCACCAAAGTCCGGTGTGATAGATGTTTTCAAGCCAATCTAGAAGCTGCAATGCAAGTTAATCCCAAATATCTCCACATAATCATGACCAGGGGAAAACTCACAAACCATGGGATCTGTATTATCATAGGGTCAAATGGCAAAGACCTTGCTAACTTACAGGTGACAGAATTCTTCAATGTCAACCCCCCACACAGTTAAACCAAGGACCCACAAACTTGGATCACTTCACAACTCTAGTCCCAGTTGAATGTCTAGAAGAAATATAACTAACTCATAGGTTATTATTTGGGATACTGAAATCCCTGCTCCCTAGAAAGTCACCAGAACGTGACGAAATCCGTCCTATAATCATGAAACTGCGCGGAAAACAACAGTACATCAATACGACCCGTTCAGGCACTCAATGGATTCACATCAACTCCCAAGAAAACGGAATGGGCTCACTCTCCAACATTCGAAGGGGAATACAAAAAGACCCAGCCTGTTACAGACCGGCCGCATTACTTTTGAAGATAATGGAGAGTTCGGTCGGTGACCGAATGAGTGAATACATTAACCAAAACAACATTCATAAAACCAAACATGAGTCCAGAAAAGGTAGGTCATATGGTTCCCATGCGACTTCTGAACAAACTGCTAGTGCCAAAAGACATTGGTCCATGCAATATGACTCGACTACGAAAAGCCTTTGATGCAGTACTTCATGTCCATCTCATAGCAAAGGTTTCAAAGTTGTGTTCCACCCAACCACTTTTAATCCGGTACAGAAGTTACCTAGAGGACGAGATGTTTTGTATAAAGATGGAGTGCACGCTAGTCGGGGGCTCTCGACATCAGGAGTTTCACAATGAATAATCTTAGATTCACTCCTGTTCCCAATCTTTTCTAAAACTTGTAAGATAAAATTATCCAGAAACCCAACACCTCTGAGACAAACTTACTTACTCAAACTACAAAACAGTCAAACCCATAAATAACCACCACACTGACTAGACTTAGTACAGCTGAGGGACTACACTATCACCCATTAGACGTTACGAAACACCTAGAACCGTACCGAAACAACAGAAGATGAGCGCAGAGAAATAATTTGGTTAATATGGACTTGATAAACAAATATTGCACGCTAGAAATGAGGAGGGAATCAGCAGAGATTTCAGTTCCCAAAAAGGAGAATTTATACAAACTTTTTTTACTCTGCGTAAATAAACAAGGTCAGCGGTTTTATTCTTAGCAGATGACGTGGAGGTTTGGTCACTCGTGAAGAGTTTCATGACAGAATGGCATTTGAAATCACCAAACGTTTACCCGTTATAGTACAGAAGTTTCAGAGGTAACCTTCTAATGACCTGCGATTTCCCAAACACTTCTAGACATCCCCTTAAATACCAACTTCAACTCAGCCCCAACACGGATGGCAATCAGAAACTGGAGACAATACAGAACGATGGAATCAACTGTCGACTGAACCAGTCCAAGAGAATGGCCAGTTTGACGCAGGAATATTCCACCTAATCTTCAACAGTTTCATTCGTCCCCATTCAAAGTACGGAAATATAGTATTTCCCGCTCACTCCAAAAGGATAAAGACAGTCTGGAACGGCAAGCCACGATATCGAATTTGGGACTCAAATTCAAGCCTTATGAAGAGCTCCTCCAATCATTGAACCTTTTCTTGTTAGAGTATAGGCGTCTTAGGGGTAACGCTCTAATGTCTTACGACATCCTCAACACTTCTGAACATCCCCTTAAACACCTCCAACACACGCCTAAGGAGTAATACACAGAAACTGGAGACACAACTCAGGAGAACGGATTGTAGACACAATTTCTATACCTTAAGAGTAGTCAAATGCTAGGATTTCTCCTTAATTTGCCGATATTTTTTTATCTTTTATGCTTATATATGCCTATCTTTTAACATGGTGACATCGGTGATCCATTGCAACTAGACATAGAAGCCCGTTAAGTAAAAGTTTCCTCTCTCCCATCTAGTACCATGTGAAACCATTTGAATACTCGAATAATTTGGTTGAGTGGACAAATCAATTCCCTGAACACCTGTTCCCAATTTGTTTTTGTTCTAGACTTTCTATTTCGTATATCGCTTCACGTTTTCAAAACAAAAATGTACTTTTTCGCCATACATACATTTTGGACTTGAAAGTTTATAGGACACCAACTACGATCGGCGGTCTTTCCGAAAATTTTGCAAATTGTGAAAAATGGGTCGTCGTTCGGTGAATACTACAAAAAGTGGGAAGTTCATGAACCCAACAGATCAGGCGAGAAAAGAAGCAAGAAAACGTGAATTGAAGAAGAACAAAAAACAACGCATGGCTGTGCGCCATGCAGTGCTTAAATCCAAAGACCCTCTACAATTATTAGAAGAAACGACTCTCTATGATAAACAAGGTAAACTGTATGAAGGTTCGAATAATTTCATTTCAGAGTACGATCCCAGTGTTCAAGCTCAACTCAGTGAAAGGGTCATTCAGGAAAAACGCCGAAAGCTGTTGGAAACATTCGACCGTCTTGTTATGTTATACGTAAATGAATGCACATTGTTATTAAAACTATATTCAGAGGAAAGAGGATGCAGAATATGCCAACCGGCTCCAAGCAGCTCGTCAAGACTACGACAAGAGACGGCATGAGATGATGCTTTATTACGGTAAGCATTTATTCTTACTTTATGTCCACAGAACAAGTAAAGTTAGCTGAAAGAGTAAAAGCTAGTGAAATTCCGCTCCCGAAATTGCCACAATCACAGATGGGTCTTATAACGTCCGACATACCATTGCCTCCTGGAGGTTACGCTAAAGGTATTCTGAAGAAGTCATTAGGGTTAGTTAAAATATTTGTCAATATCAATTTCACTCACGATGAACAATAATCTTTTCCATCTATAAATAAGGGTTGTCTCATTATTACTGTCTATGCACTTGCACAATTCATGTTCGTCTGTCTATACACTGGTCCGTGCTTCCGTATATATAGCTGCATCTGGTGGACTCAAAGCTACAAATATACAAATAGCAGCTTTGTTGGTGGGACTATAATTTGTCGACAATCTTTGAGCGACGCCAAGGTGACCTTGAGCGTTCACCTAACAACTAAGACTAAAGAAGGGTTATGAACCAGTGTGAGGAATTCTGATTTACAGTTGAGGTTATGAGTTAGATTTAGGGTCAACATAAATATACGTACGTGAAAATTAGTTGGCACGAAAGTAAAATTGATAGAAAATTGCTACTTTGCTTAGCAGGTAACATGAAATCGTCTGACTAAATCCCAGAATAATAGAGATTACAACAGTATCAGTGGTAACAGAAAAATTAGGCAAATATTTATGTTGTTCTAAATCAACAGTTAGAATCGATTAAATCAGACGTAGAGGCAAGCTATCCGTTGTCGCCTCCACACTGCATCAGCAAAAATGAAAAGGTCACAAGTTATTTGACGTAAACGAAGATTGGTTGAGAATATAGCACAACTTCATACTATTCGCGATTGTGGATTTTGTTTAGCTAAACTTGATGACATCTTAGGGAGTAAACTCATCTAATTTTGTGATCTCGTGTTACTACCGCTGTATTAAATTCCAAAACAAGAGAATTAGTTTTTATTTGTCTTTTTTCGTACCGACAGAGCTCCAGGGCTCCCACCTAGTATACTTCCTGCAGGTCGTAAACCACCTGGACCACCTCCAGGAACACCTCCTGAATTGTCAGATAGCGAAGAAGAAGATAATTCTGTTGATAATACGGCAAAGCAACGCAAAATCCGGTTTGCTGATGCAGACCCTATGGTATGTAAAGTGGTATATATACACAATAACTTTTCTTTAAAGCAGGAGCAAGAAGAACTAATTGGTGATTCATCTCTGCATCTCGGCGAAAAATTCGCTGGTGGGTTTACAAGTAAGTCAAGCTTTTAACTTTTTTTACTGAATTTATATTTATTTATTTGAACACATAAATAGTGGTACAAAGGAGCACCAGATACTAATTTTGAATATCCTTATTGGACCAAACAGTGATTATTTCTGGATTTTTGTTGTGTTGCGAAGTCAGCATTTTTGGAATAGTAAACATTAAATATAGGCAGCGAGGATCGTTGAAGCACGTGACATGTGGCTTCACATCATATTGATTCACAATTCGCTCAACATTTATTGCATTTCACCAAAGTCGTATCCCACTTAACTTCATGCTTATGGCATTGCGTACTGACTGTGCCCTATGTTTGTGTATTGACTTGATGTTTTCTAACTATCCATGCCTTTACGTGGCATCGCGGAACGAGTCTACGTAACCAAAAAAATGACTGTCTAAATACCTTTAACCTCATCCACTTAAAAATTTGTATAACTATTTATTATTTATTTGAACACAAACATTGGTACATGGGGTACAAATACATATGCGACACACAATAACAATCAGGTTGTGGAGAGATAGAGAATGTAAGATGAGTATTATAAAAAAGAAAAACAACCGACATAAATTATTGTGAGAGTGAAATGATAATATTAAGAGAAACTTTTGATTTAGCAAGAATACAATCAACAATAATTCTTTCAGTTAAAGGAGTTGCGTTTTTTTTCACGAACAAAGTAAAGGACAGTTGCAGAAAGATCGCCACTAGCTTCCGATCTGAGCTATTTGTGATAACGTTTCAAGACACTGCGTTGCACTATCTCAAGGACTTCGACCAGGGCGTTGTAAAGGACCAACAAAAGCCAGTCCTGTACAACTTTCTTTCACACCACGACGCTGTGTAGTGCGCTGATCACCCCTCCGCATTTTACAACCGATCCCAGCGTCAGAAAAGCATGCCTAATGTGGAATCCTCTGAGACGACATTCGTAAAACTCTTCCAAGCCAACGAAGTCGATGTTTCAAGATAGTAACACCAATTGGATTATCGTCGCTGTGTCTGAATACACGATGCCGAACCTCTGCATTACTAACATAGTATTGCCACTTAATGTCAACAACCCTCCGGGGACAACTATGATCAAACATAGTCGTCTAACATCCTTAACTCGGAGAGGACAGGTTTCACAAGCATAGAGCAAAACTGCTCTCACCGACGCGTTGTAGATCCGACCTTTTACAACCAGACTAACATCACGAAGGCGCCAAAGGTGGCCCAGACTGGCATAAGCCTCTCTGGCTTTTACTACATATTAATTGACCTAATTACTCACACCACCACCAGAACTTATGCAGCTACACAGACACACGAACTTCTCGACTACTATCTGCTCACTTCCCAGGGTGAGTGCAGGATCAGGGTCCTTTCAGTCTTGCAAAAGTTATTATTATTTATTATTTTAACACATAGATATTGGTGCAAGGAGGCACCAAATACATATGCGCCACACAAATCTCAATTGATATGTGTGAGGGCTGTGATACTGCCCGGGTGCCCAAACCAAAGCAGGTGGTTTTCTTAGGCGGACACACCCCGAGTCTTCGACCTGAACGTCTGACCCACAAGGCAATGGAGCATCGTAAGGAGATGCAGTCCCATGGTAGCCGGTGACCAACGATTGGTTCATACGCCATTTGTTCCCTCAGGATCCTGGAGCCCATGTGCACCATTGGTTAGGGATCCGGTTAGAGCGCCGGAAATTCGCTTTTCGTCCTCTCATTTTCGTAAACAACAGTAATGCCACGAGAAGGCAGTGAGTAGGACTTCCCTGGCAGAGGCTATATGCGCGTGGCCATGTGAGAGCATTTGGAGAGGGAGAGCGGACTCTCCCCACTCTCAGCCGTACCAGGGCATTTGTAGGCAAAAGTACTTTGCACTTAGAAAGTGCAAAGCACATGCCATACCTACGGACACTGATTGCCAACTGATGATGTGCGGATCGCATAGCTTGGGTATTATCGCATAGTAAGACAAAATCATCCACATACTCAAGGTCAAGAAGTCCTTCTCCAGGCAACAGATTCACACCGTCCAAAAATTAAATATATGGTCATTCTCCTCCAAATTTTGTTAATAACGTATACATTTCTCTACCAGTAGGCATGCTCTAGTCAAAATCTAGGGATTAAAAGTAAAGAACTCCAAAACGCACTCCGTCTTTCTAAAACTTACTAGGAAATATTAGTTTAATCACTATATGGTGTTTGTCCGTATTCTTCTGATATATTATCTATTCACCATTTCTGGTAAGTCAACTGCTTTAAATCAGTTGAGGAAACATTATAGTTGCGAAGCTTCGGTTAAATCTTAGCAATTCAACCATGTGACTTTGTTTCTTACTTTAATTTGCAGCTATTACTCCTCCACTCTCTCAAATCCCTTTACCGCCACCCATGGCTTTACCATCCTTTACTGGCCTTATTCGTCCAGGATTTCCAGGAGCACCTCAGCCTACTCTAAGTCGTTTCACTTACCAACGCCGTAAGTCATTTTCAAAACATTCCATTACTTATATCTGACATTTCTCTCGTTCCAGGTTCATTAACTAAAGCCAGTCATTGTATATTTAATCAGTATTAAAAATAAATCGCATAAAAGTTGGTTATTAGGGCTTTTTGTTTTAAATATTCTTTGGATGTACTTTAATTGTATATCGTTAGTCTAATACACCTGTTTTTAGATGTATGTATTTATCAAGGACGGGTGTAGAAACATTTTTTACTACCAATACGCATATTTTAGTTATAAGCTTTTATAGGACAAGCCTTTCCAATAACACCAAAAATCTGGAAGTTCTGAGGAACTGTTACTGGTAAATGCAACTTTGTGCGACACACCACTTCAACGTAGTTTTTCACTTTACATCAGTCCGGTTTATTAGATTAAGCCATCATACAGACTTTTTTCAATTAGTGATGTAAAATTATAAAACTTCATGTTCATTTAAATAAAAATCGTTTCTTGTTTATTAGTGTATTGACCTAATCTCAACCCTGTTTTCATTCAGCCACTGGGGCTATACTATCAGCTCCACCCAGTTTGCACCTTCGTGATCCACTTGATAATGCTGAACTTGTAAGTGGTCCAGCTGTAGCGAGCATTCCAACAAACCAACCAAATCCAAGTGGAACTACTATAGAAGCAAAGCCACAACTGAAAAATTTGATTGGTGACGCAACACGTTTTGTCCCTACAGCGCTTAAAGTACGTAGAATTGTTCGTGATACTAGTGGTCGTCTAGTCACTACAGGTGGAGGGACAACTGCATATGGAACAGGAAGTGAGTTTACATTATAGTAATGTATAGTTTTAAAGGGACCAATCTATTTAGTATATTTTTCTCATAGGATACCTTTGTAAACATTTTTATACTCTGTATATGTAACAAGTTAGGTTCCCCCTTATCTTGGATATGACGGGACAATATCAGTTTGTTATTACTAATTGCTGTATCAGAAAATTGGATATTTTATAAATGGTTCTTTGAAAACAACTATCAATATTCTTCCTACACGTATTATAATACTCGTTTACGAAGTATTTGTGAAGGCAGTTCTATACACTACTAGATCATGACACTAAGCTGGAGCTCGAAAAGAAGACATATGACTGAGACAGTTTCAGTGTGACCGCTTTTGAACCATGTCCCGCCCTATATCATTATTTACGATAGGGAATGTTACTATAAGGTTACCTCAAGTTCTACTATACGAGAAAAAGATTTAGATGTTTCAAGCGTTCATCGTGAGTTTGGAAAGACCCGTCATAAACTTATTTCCACACACTGAACATGCTCGAGTGTGATAGCATCCCTAATTAGACATGGACTAGCTGCTTGGATGCGATACTCTAATTGAAGCCTCACGTATATGTGGTTTAAAACCCGAAAAAATTTCGTAAAAGCATTACCTTATATCCTGCCCGAATAATACAGTCATTCTGCTTTTTATTTCAATTTTAGAACAATCGAATGCTGTTTATGATCGTGTTGCCAAATCTGATACTACAGGAATCAATTCTGGATCAGCTACTAGCAAAGATGATGCATATGAAGAGTTTATGCGTGAAATGGAAGGCCTTATATAAGAACAATTTTCAGACTCCATGTATAGTTTTACCTTATTTTGAAATTGTCTTTCATATATTGTGTATTTAAATGTGTCTTTTTACTCATATCTATCTGAAGCAAACATTTTTCATTGAATCCACCTTAAATCATTTGTTTACATGTCTCAAATTATGAACACGTTCCCATCAAAATTTCTCGGTGGATGCCATTCGTTATTGTGCAATTATACTCTGCTCAGTGAGATTTATCAAAACCACCATCCTAATTGCATACAGGTTGTTTCTAAATATGTAGACCACAATATCAAATCAGTTTATTTGAAGTACAGTTTGTTCATCTTACACACAAACATTCAAATATATGTCTGTATATGATCATCCAGTTGAACACCATTTAGAACCTGGTGTATACGTGCATCAAGTTGATACAGCACAGCAAAATCATGTTACCAAGACAAACGTAATAGTAGAAGAAGTAGCAACGGTACCACTGGTAGTATATGACTCGAGAAAAGATGGATTTATGAATAAAAAAACATATAGTTCCGAAAATCAATGTCTATGGGAAGATATATAGTGAATCCATTTACATAGTTGCGACCGCTTCTTAGTCATGTCACTCAACGTCTTCAATCACTGATTGTGATATTCGTGCGGCCCCTAGCCAGGTAGCTTGTATCTATCAACACAACTCAGTTCAATAGTCAGTGACTTCATGAACTGATGCCACGTTTTGGTCTTTACTAAGTCATCCTACATATCTTGGTAGAGATTACATTACACGGGAATCAACAGGCCTTATTCACTAAAGTTTCACCTAGCTTATTGACTCTTGCAACACAAATAGTTTGGGGTTAGTTTTTTTTATTAACAACGTGTATAAAGACTTTCATTAAGTTTAAACCGTAATCATGTTACGATTAATATATCTGACTAGTTACTTACCTCTTACTTTTCGAATCCCCAGCTGATAATTCCTCACATCCGCTGTTTAGTAAGGCTAATCAAGTAGCCAGATCAGTTTCAGCTATTTCATCTGTTTAAAAACCGACTATGTTTAAATAAATTTCAGCTTACACTTTGAAAAATTTTGGAGTCCAAAGGTTTGTCTTTGTCGATTCATGACAATATAGTTTCTTTAACTGATAAGCATCAACATCTCATTCTAGTTTTCATAGACTCTTGGGTGTAGTTTCTGCAACAATTCTTATTAGCTTCTTCACATTTCCTGAACATCACTTGCTCTTTTTTCATTTTAGTATTTTACTAATTGTCCACAACATAGAAATCATTTGTCGTCCTGATTCTGCTTTGTTAATTTATATAAATACAATGAAGTTCTACTGTTATTGAGTGTTACTAGTCAAATAGGTTTATTATTTATTTATTTATTTATTTGAACACATAAATATTGGTACAGGGGGGCACCAAATATATATGCGCCACACAAAACAATGATAATTTGAAGAGAAGGAGAAAAGAGAAAAAAAAGTAATGAACGTGGGGAATTATAAAAAAAAGGGAGAGAGAGAGAGAACAATGGTGGGGGAAACTGAAAGGTACAATCAGAAGAGATCTTTCAGTTAAGGAAGATACAACCACTTTTTATGAAGAATGTAAGAGGTTAGAGCAGGATCGCCACTGGCTTCTATTCTTAGCCATATCTGATAACATCTCTAGCCACTGCGTTACACCGTCTCTCGGACCCCAACCAGGGAGTCGTGAAGGACCAACAGAAGCTAGCCCTTTGCAGCTTTCTTTCATACCACGACACCATGTCATATACTGACCACCTCTCCGCTTTTTCCAACCAGTCCCAGAGTCGGCAAATAATGCACGACGTGGAATTCTCTGGGACGACATTCGTAGAACATGTCCAAGCCACCGAAGTCGGTGTTTCAAGATGGTGACACCAATTTCATTATCGTCTCTGTGACCGAACACTCGATGCCGAACCTCTGCATTACCAACATGGTGTTGCCACTGGATGCCAGCAATCCTTCGAAGACAGCGATGATCGAACACAGAGAGTCGTCTAACATCCTCAACTCGGTGAGGCCAGGATTCACAAGCATAGAGCAAAACTGCTCTCACCGTCGCGTTGTAGATCCGAACTTTTACATCCAGACTAACATCACGAAGGCGCCAAAGATGGCCCAGATTGGCATAAGCCACTCTGGCTTTCACTATGCGTGCATTGATCTCATCACTCACACCACCACCAGCACTTATGCAGCTACCTAGATACACGAACTTCTCGACTACTTCAATCTTCTCACCATCCAGAGTGAGTACAGGATTAGAATCCTGCCAGTCTTGTAGAAGAACTTTGCACTTCAAAGGTGCAAAGCACATACCATACCTACGGACACTGATTGCCAACTGATTAAGTGCGGATTGCATGGCTTGGGCATTCTCGCACAGTAAGACAATATCATCCGCATACTCAAGGTCGAGAAGTCTTTCTCCAGGCAACAGATCCACACCACCATTACTTACATCCGTCAGAGCTGTTTCCAGAATGTCATCGATGGCAAAGTTGAAGAGGAATGGTGAGATTGGGCAACCCTGTCTAACCCCACTGCTTGAATGGAATAGTGGAGAGAGGTGGTTGTATGCCCTCACTCTGCCTGAGGTGTTTGTATGTAGGGCTTTTAGGATGTTAATAAACTTCTCAGGCACACCCTTCTTCAATAGACAATCCCAGAGAACAGTTCTGTCCAACAAATCGAAGGCAGCCCTGATGTCAAGAAACACTACGATTGTTGGCCTTTGATAAGTATGGCGGTGTTCTAACACTTGGCGGAGGGTGAAGATATGATCAATACATCCTCGACCAGAACGAAACCCAGCCTGCTCCTCGCGAGTCAGTCCTTCTCAGGTTCTAAACAACCTACGAAGTATGACGGAAGCCAATAGCTTGGACGCAATCGGAAGTAGACTTATTTCCCGATAGTTGTTACAGGAACGACGTGAACCCTTTTTAAAGATAGGGACAACTATCGACTCATTCCATGACGTTGGTACACTCTCTAGTTCCCAGATCTTTATAAACAACGTCGTCAGTCCCTTAGTCAAAAAGTCACCACCATCTTTAAAAAGAGCCGGAGGTAAGTCGTCTGGGCCCGGTGATTTGTAACGTTTCAAGAGTTGGAGTTCCTTGCGGACTTCCGCCTCATTTGGTGGATCAGTCGTCACCGGCCATGGAGGGCAGGATAGTCTGACCGATGTTGCCGGAGCAGCAGGCCAGTTGAACTGCCCTTCAAAGAATTCTGCCCATCGTCCAAGACGTCGATGGATGTTAGTGATTGGCGTTCCGTCATCCTCGCAGATTGTTTCGCTCACACCAGACTTCTTGCTGCCAGTGGCTCGGATGAGTTGGAAGAGCTTCCGGTAATTACCAGATGCAGCTGCTGCTTCCAACTCACTGGCACGCTCCGACCACCAGGCTTTTCGGTCCTTACGCAAGCTTTGCTCAATTTCATTACGTAACATCCTTCGTCTGTGGTCAAACTCACGGTCACCTGGATTAGACCGACGGGCTTCAATCAGTTGTAAGGAACCAGAAGAAACCCAGTGCTTGTAAGCGGGACGTTTCGCAATCCCACAGCTGACTTTACCCGCCATTTTCATGGCGTCATGCAATTGCAACCAATGCTCATCTATACTTTTCGGTGGAATGGTAGCTAGCCTAGAAGCTAGCTCGGTTCGGTACTTACTAGCAACAGAAGTTGCAGCCAGCTTGCTAACATCAATCCTTTGGTGGCGGTCACTTCGTTGTCCACTGAAAAGTAAGGTGAGATTGGCGCAGACCAGAGCATGATCAGATTCCAGATAGGTACTCCAAAAGGAGCGGCAGTCTTGTACACAATCGCGCCAGCGGTAGCTGATCGCGATGTGATCAATCTGAGTCCAGGCCTGATATGCGGAAGGGGGACGCCAGGTGGCACATCGGCGATGACTGTGCCGAAAGTTAGCGCTAGCCAGAAACAGGTTGTGATCTGTGCATAGTTGCAGTAGACGTTCCCCGTTATCTGTCCTGCGACCAACGAGTCCCCATCGGCCACCTAAACGACTCTCTTCTGTGCCTAGACGCCCGACCTGAGCATTCAAGTCTCCAGCTAGTACTACAATATCTGTCGAACGCACTTTCTGGAGAAGAACAGTTAGCTGATGGTAGAACTCATCCTCGATTGCATCCGGCCTGCAATCTGTCGCGGCATAGGCGGAGATGACGAAAAGACATCGTTTCTCACGCCGATTTCTTCTCACTTTGATGGAACTTTCTAATCTAACAGCACATAACCGACTGTTAATGGGGATCCAGTCGACTAGTGCTGCCTCAGCTCTAGCGCTTAGTGCGACACCAACGCCAGCAAGACTAGACGAAGATGCCACAGGGTCCCCGGATAAACGCACATAAAACAAGCTTTTTGAAGTGACAGATGGAGAGCGAACTTGTAGTACTTCACCAGAGTCTTGAATACGGGTCTCGGATAGACAACACACATCAATATTAACACTTTCCAAAGACATAGCCAGTCCTATCTGTTGTCCGACCTGCATAAGTGTGCGAACGTTGAAGGTAGCCAGTTTGAATGGTGCACGTGGTTTCAGAAAAACTGCTTCAGTACTCATATTCGGTAGTAACATACAATTTTCAACCAGGCAGTGACTCGAGAACGTTTAGATAAAGCTGAATTTTTACCATTTGCGAGCTGCTGTCTGAGTCGAAGCGGATACAAAAAGTAGAAATAGGAGATAGTGAATAAATGACGTAGTAAATACTAATAATAATACCAGTCATTTCAATGTTAGTCGGAGAGAAACGAATATTTTCTATAAGCAAATAGTTCATCATAGTTTTAGTGAGTTGGCTGGGATACTGCCCGGGTGCCCAGACCGAAGCAGGTGGTTTTCTTAGGGGGCCACACCCCGAGCCTTTGACCTAAAGGTCTAGTCCACAAGGCAGTGGAGCATCGTGAGGAGATGCAGTCCCATGGAAGCCGGTGACCAAA